AAAATAATGTTCTTATTTAAATAGTAATTTGTTTTACTCATTAATATAAATATCAACACGAACTTTCAATAAAATAAAAATTTTAATTACTTTTTTGTAAGATCGTTGAAAACTAATAATTTTAAAAAGGAATCCTGTAAACTACTGCATACCAGAAAACTGTACAAAAAAAGTATACAAATAATTAATAAGAATTTAAAAAATGGCTAACATCATCTCCCCATCTAAAAATATATTTACTTTAGATTAAACGGAATAATTAAATAAAAATTTGTGCGTTGAAGACTTAAAAAAAATTCACTTGATGACGTTATTTTTTAGGCCACGTAAGCTGCCAGCAAACCCAAAGGACGATAAAAAGAAGTCGTACTTGGAATGTAATTTAGGTGAAGTAACCTTACACCATCACGTACTACATAAAGAATCGCTTCCCGCGGGTAACTTATACACTACAGCTGCTGGCAGACAAGACTTGTGTTACACAAAAAATGTCCCTGATCTGTTGGACACATTGCTTCCGGCCAAAAGTCGTCGGCTGTGTCAAACACTTCCTAGGTGAGTCAAGACTTATTGTAAACATTAAAATACTGTAATGAGTCAAGTACGATTCGTACAACATTATTCATTAACGATGAACTTTATTTAAAGCTAAAATATTTTTATTTTCACATTAAAGTTGCTTAAAAAAATAATTTATTCGAATTTTATTTTTCGATTAAAATTAAATATAGACGCAAGTTATTCAGCTAAATAATAATTTGATGATCAGTAAAACTCTAATAAAACTAATTTAATAACGTTATTATATTTGTAGGCCGACAATAGGTTCTAACAACAAGCGCAATACAATGTACTCGACAAGAGTAATGTCGGATAGTCAGTCACCTCTACTGATGAGTAGTCGGAGTAGTGGTGGCAGTAATACAAGCAGAAGTCAACTTTCATTCGACTCATCAATCGAATTAGATAATCCAAGGTAAATGAATATGACCATTGACGATTACACTGTATTTCGACAAAACAAGTGCAATATTTTAAAACGCAGTTAAAAGTCTTAATAATATTTAATAATTATTTATAATATCTAAAACGTTAAAAATAAATGTTTATTGCCATAAACAGCCTAATACTTAAAGAAGATTTCACCGTCCGAAAAATATTTTCATTGACTTTCCTGTTTTCAAAATAAATTGGATTATTTACACCGAACATAAAATGTTACTAGTATCAAATCAATAATATACACATTTTAATGAGATTTTTTTTATATTTTCTAAAGATGTTCAACAAGTGTGAGTAATTAAAAATGAAAATAAGCTACTCGTTATTTTAGATTTTATTTCTCGAAATTGTTTTATTTTTATAATAATGGAAATATAATCATTAAAAATAATAAGAAATAAAAATGTTGTGCGTGAGCTACTGAAATAATTTTTGATTACATTTCTTGTGATTATTTACTTTTCGCGTGGTCGTGTTCGTTTTATTCTTTGGCCTACTGTGTATATTTATACCAACTTCAGCAAACTATCTCTTCAAAATTACGATTACACAACAGGCACGGACACCAATGCAAAAACAACATTGACTTTCGAGCAAGATTGTACGATTGAAGTAAATAAATAGGCTACAATATGTCAAGTATACTACAACTGTCAGATTGATTACAATTACTCACCACCCACGAGTTTAGATTGACTGCTGTTAAAAGACTTTACGGCAGAGGATTTAATAATATTACAAAACACACCATACGTTTACTTAGTGATTTACTGACATTAAAATTTTCATTTGGAAAATAAAGATTCATGTCAAACACATTTCCTTTGAAAACGACTTTAATGTTTAAAACAAGATAAAATATTTATAAAAACATTTTCAAAAAGTGATAATAACAAATTTTAAGTTCATAATAAATTATATTCAATTATTCTCATTAAATTAGGTATTTTAATTATTTAAGGTTCTGTAATCGAAAAACACATTATTATCACTCTTTTCATTATAGTGCAACTATATACTTTATTAATAAAATAACAATATAACATTTTTATCACAAATTTATCACAAATTTATTGTTAAATGAACATAACTCGATAAAATAGGCATAAAGTCCAAAAAGAAGTGTTCATTATTTTTTATTATTATTCTCAGTTTTTTTAAATCGTGAATGATAAAAGTTTATTTTAATACCTACTTTAGATAAATTATTTAAACTTAAGTAAAAAATTATTTTTAAAAAAGATCTAGAAGTTCATTCAACAAATTTCAGCAAAGATCAATAATGACTATTTAATAAAAAAAAAACATATCGTGTAGTATTTGGACACATTTTAATAAATAAAGTAATAAGTAGTTTAATAACTTCTAATTACTGTAATTATTATTGTATACTTAAGTATATTTAATAAAACAAATCTTATACAAATATTCACATTTAAAGTTATTTTGAAATAAAAATTACTAAATGCATTAATCAGTTTTACATCCTTCTATTTCCCGAACTTAAAATGGTATAGATAATGATAGCCCCTCTTTCATAATATCTCTTTAACATATTATGTTAAGGAAATGGTTCTTGGCTAGGCGAACGATGGACTTGACGGATATTATGACAAGCTTGCAGCAGAGACCAGTCACCATTAATGAGAAAATAACAAGAAAAATACACCAAAAAAATCATCTGCAGTGCAACTTCTTCAACAAAAACTATAACATCATATGTTTCCTACGCTAAAATAGTTGATAATTCTAATGGAAATAACGTTATTCTTAAAAAACAAATAATACTGCCGATTGAAAATGATAACTCCTCTCTAACGGAAATTTTATCAACCCTTACAAATATAACAAAACCTTTATCAAATATGTCAAGAACAGTTAGATAAGTTAGTAAGTAACTAATTTAAGCCTAAAAATCATAACAAAAAGAAGAAATGAATCATACATTACATGTCATATTAAAAAAGCGAAAAGTTTTCCTTACCAATAAACAAACAAACTAAGATCTTTTTGGAATGGACCAAGAAAAAACTATTACACTTTCCGTATGATTTAAAACAACAACTGACATCGAAACAGTAGTACATAAACTAGCTAATGACATTTTTGAAGCGGCAAAAAAGCTACACAAGAAACTTGTAAAAACATATACCGTAAGACAACTTATTCAGTGGAGATGAGAGAATTATTCGGCAAAAGCGCAGATCTAAAAGAAAATGGCACTCAACGCGTCATTTAGTAGATAGAACTGAATGGAGTCATTTATGCAAAGCACATTGTGAAAAAATCAAATAAGTTAAAAACGAAATATTTAGGTCATATTTAAACGGACTATCTGCTATGTTTCTTGCGATTACTGTTTATGGAATTCTACAAGAAAAATAAAAAGACCTCAAGCTTGCCCATCTTCTATTCACAAAGAAAATGGTACATTGGCTCGTAGTAATATGGACAAAGCAGAAGTATATGCACTTCATTTAAAACTTTTTTTTCAACTTAACGACATTAATTTGAAACTTGACCAAGTAAAATATCAACCATCAAATAAAACCAATGACAAAATACGGCACTATACACTACTATAAGTTGATTTTGAAATCGATACAATTATCAACCCTTAAATGACACCGTGTTTTATGATAAAATCAGCCCTCGTATTCTAAAAGAATTATCAAAAGAGCTATCATTTTTTTAACACATATTTACCACGTTATAATACGCACACATTATATTCCAGAAAAATAGAAAAAGGTGCAAGTATCATGTTGCTGAAACCTGGCAAGCCTCCAGAGCAACTTTCTTCATATAGTCCAATATCAATCCTCCCTTGTATGGCTAAAATATCGTTGGCACCCTGGGGATCGAACCCGGGACATACCAAAACATACGTTTCTACCCACTAGATCAGATTGACCCTCAAAATTACTAAATATAATTTTAATAAAAATTTAAATGAAATTATAATAATTTATAACATAAACATCGTAAATTTGTGCAATCATAATTGTATTTATGAAAACGATGTAGATTTATTAATAGTTTTTTGGATTAGTTTGTTAATTTTTATATTAAGATGGATTAGTGTAATAATTTGAAATACTTTATAATAGGTGTACTGAATTTCTAAATTCTCTACTCTGTGTAATTATTAATCACAAAAACTATTGATGTAATTCAAATTTTTATTGATTTTAGATTGTTGTCAGTCAACCAAAAATCCAACAGTTACTTAAATTTGTCTATTGAAAATCAGCAACAACCTCACTACTGGACAAACCCAAGCTTACCATCATCGCCAGCTAGAGAACGAAGATTACCTGCGACCCCACCTACCAGTCGGTCAGCCGCTATTGCGTCAATTATGGCCGAGACGCCTATTTTGGACCCAATATCGGGTAGACGACGGTTGCCTTACCGTCAGTCCAGTGTGGCAGGATCCAATCACTCTCTGCTTTCGTCATCAGATGGTGCGTCCGTTACATATGACTACCACAACGCTCAGTTGGACATGTTCTTAGAGGAATATAAACATTTGAGAAAAGAACTCACAAAGATGCAACGGACATGTGATACCTTACGACTATCTAATGCGTCTTTGGCATCTTCGACATTAATGTCTGACATCAAACCGGAACAACCAATCGTACGAACGCCAAAATCAATCCTAAAAAATCGCAATCAAGCCACGTACGTTTACGATGGAAGCACTTCCGTCAATCGACGCAACAGCTACCAATCGATAGATAAAAATCTACAGTTTTCAAATGAGCCTTATCTCAGTTAACAATGCTAACTTATTCAATTTGATTAAATTAGACATTTTTTATTATAATATTTTATTGGAAAGTGACCAATCAGTCTTTTACAACTCTAATTTTTAATTAAATTTATTAATTAATCATTTTCCTCTTTTAGTTCAAGAGGGCCATATCTCAAAAAAAGCTTTTTGAGATAAACGGTGTCAAAGTTTCAACCTTCCATAAGATAAGAGTTACATTATCAATTACTTTATTTTTATAATTCATATTAAATTCAAACAAACATGCATGTTACTTGCATATTTAGGTAGACAATAATAAACTATGTTGAATTATATAATGATGTCAAATATCACGAATTTTTATGTCCTCTTGCACTCTTAGTGAAATTTGTATCAATAGTTTAAAAAATTGAAGTTAAATCTGATTTATTTTAAGAAAAACATGATATGACTAACAGTAGTTACATTATATCTATTTTTTTTTTTAACTCGTTTTAGCAAATTAAACTTTCAATTATTATCGGAAAAATTACAAACAGTGTTCACGACATAAGTCTTGATCGTTTAAATACAAGTTTATTTAATATACGCTAAACATATGAGTTTACATTATATGGAATTCTAATATTTTAACAGTTAAATCAGTTAAGTTTCAACTAATTACTCAACATACCTTAATTAATTATGATCTATTTATACTTGAATTTTTTATTGAAGTATTTTTCCACAATTAAATCATGGCATTCTTCTACTTGTTTTAGTTAAAATTTTGTAATATTCTATGAAATTATTTCAGTGTAGTTAAGATACATTTCTTTAGTCAAGAAACAATCACATCGAATTTTGATAATTTACTTGACTTGATTATAAAAAATATACTGTTATGTAATTCTTCATTGGCTTTAAAGAATTATTTTAATTGTATGATAGAAATAAATTAAATTTACAGTTAAAATATTAACAAAATTACAATACCATTTTAGGTCTGAGATGGATAATTGTTTTTAGTATAAATCGAACAATAACAATATTGTAAAACATTGTACTTAAGAAAACAGTTTCATAGTTTCTATTAATTTTATTATTAAATTTATTCTTTCTCGTGAAATATAATTATTGTTACTGTACGAAAATGAAAAAAATGTTGAAAATAACATTTTCTAAAACGACATTTATATTTAATAATCATTTTCCTTCAATGTAAGTATACTTTGAATGAACGTTGTAATATTAACAACAATATCGTCTTCTTTTATTTGAAATTATACTTTAGCTGAGACTTTCATTACGTTCATTTTACCGAAGTTGAAAAAACTGTAATGACTTTCTTTTTTTGTGGCCAAAATGTTACTTCAAGTTTTTATTTAATAGCGGATTAAATTATAGAATTTGTTTACTTGTCAAACTGCAATTTTAGTACTGAATTATATTGAAAACATTTTTAATGACAACAAATTTTCAATGTGAAACCTAATTGCATTATTTATGACCACCAAACCGAAATAATTTTACTCATTGAAAATGAAGTATTAATGTTTTTATATAAATCACTTTTTTATAAATTGAATTATGTAAATGTAATAATAAAATTTAATTAGAACCGCAATGAGTTATTCAAATTAATTTTCAACATCTTTACTTTGGTAATTCTGAAAATAGATCGATTTTCAAAATTTAGACGTATCACTCTTTGTATAATAGTTATAAATTAGTTTATAACTACACAATTTCCAAAACATAAAATTGTAAACATGTAAAAATCTTGAAACTTTAAATTAAGGTTTTGAAAAATTGAAGGATAAAGGGTAAACATATATATATATTTAGTGATAAGTTATCGATTTAAGTCATGTAAATATTTAAAGTAATTGATTAATTTTTGTTATATAAAAATTATATTAAAAAAACTCTAAAAAAAATTATTCAACATAATAAAATTTTTACTGTGTTGATTCCTACTTGTTACCTATGTATCATTTGATGTTAAATACATATTTGGTTGTTATAATTTTTATCAATAGGATTAAATAGTTGTTGTGGTATAGTGGTTAAATGTAAATTGTAATAAACTATTGGTAATTTATATATTTTATGTAATTTAATTGTTCTACTATACTTGTTCTTTGCAGTTATCTTATATTATATAAATAAATAATTATGATAACACATTTAGAATATTTTTATTATGAGAACTGATTAAGTAATGGCATAATGAAAATATCGAATCAATTTAGCTTAACATTATTAACAGAGTAAACCTTATAATAACTATATAGATAAATACATATTTGAAGTAATTGGACAAATGTAACACTGGTCAGTTGTAATAAGATGAATATTTCTCCCATGATGAATATGAAAAGCAATCGTGCGAATGAACAGAAACTAAGTATCATTATTAAACTGAGCACTTTAATATTTACAGTATTTTTAGGATTATTTAATGAATGAGAAACATAAGTGGTGTCAGTAAATGTTGAAAATTATATACAATTGTATATTATATATAAATATTTTTAGTGAGGGGTTTATCAAGCTTCAATAGACTCCAATTTTATTCTAACGAGTACGGTAAGTAAAGAAATATACATAGGAGACATTTTTACTAACTCAACTAATTGAAGTATAACTGATCTTTACAACATTAATAATTTGACTCTGGATGATTTTGACCTTTATCTCTCCCAGGTAGAACCCAATCACATATGATATTAAAATACCATGAGAATTATTAAAAAGGAGTTATTTACATAATCAGCAGTTCATTTTTTATTCATTAAAATGAATATTAAACTTTTTTCAATAATTTCAATTTTTAAATAACAATTAACCAGGGTTATTTTTGTCAGGCCGTAGTTCCCCCTGTGTGCGTTTGTTATATGTTCCATAGTTACGGCCACCATCTTTTATTATCAATTTGGCTTTATCATATCTCATAAAATTAGTAGTCATAAAATAGAGAAAAATTTATTTTAGCAAACTAATACTTTTTTTCTTTTATTTTTTCCTTTATTTATGGATATTATTGCTCTTAGTTAAGTTGTATAATGTTTCATTAATACTATAGAGATAAAAATTTATATTTATCATTAAATATAATTAAGAAATGCATTTCATTTTAATCTAAGGTTTATTGCAATTGATCTAAGGTTGGAAATATTTGTAAAATTTTTATAATTTCAATTCAAACTTTTTATAGTATAATTTGTTCTTTAAACAGTAATTGTGATAACTATTATAGAAAAAATCCAATAGTAGGGTTAAAAGCAAAAAAAAATTAATGCAATTTCTTAAAATTAAAATACTAATATTAATGTTAAAATTAAATACCCAATCATCCCTATAATATGTATAAATGTATCATATCAGTATCACTATTTTGAACTTTATTCATTTGACTGTTATTGTTTTTATTCTCTATTATACAAGACAGTTAAAAAAATAAAATTTTCACCCTTATGAAGAATGATAGATGGACCTAAAAAGTACTTAATAGTTGGTAAATTAAAAAGTATATGAAACTAAAAAAATTATCAATATATTTATTATTTTAGGGAAAAATAAGTCATAAACATTAAATAATCACTCTATATATTATGATATAAAATCACTCCTATTATTTTTTGTAAAATGATCTGATCGGGCATATTCATGTTAAAAAATCCTTGAAAATAACTTAAATATCATTATTTATTTTCCATGCAATATTCAACATTTAGCTTGTAAATAAATTTAAATTTTATATTTTTAAATTTTTTTATTAGAAATACCGAAAGATAATGTAATGCTTGCATAGTTTATTTTCTGGTGTATGAAAATGTTTAAAAATGTAACTCTGATTATTAAACCAGCATTTAGAATAAATATTGCAAGTCTCTTTTACCTATAGGAAAAAGGCCTATGTATTTAAAATTGTATAGTCTAAAATCGATAAAATAAAATATTTGAGCTTTCCTTATAGGAATAAAAAGTACTTATAACTTTTATCGTACAATGATTTATTTTAGAAAATATATATTAAAGAAATATATGAACAAATCCCTTACTTGTTTTTAAGTTTAGTATAAACAAATAAAGCATACCTACATCAAAGTAACGTTTCAAAAATAGAACCCCAGCACAGTGGGGAAACAGTAAAGTTGGAATGAGGAAGTTTAAATGATATTTGACAATGAATAACAATACTATCATAAAAGACGCTGCGATGCGAATCTATTAAATTTCATAATTTATATATTTTTTATTTTACAATTTCTTTAATTTAAAATTTTACTCGAATGCTTGTGTTTTTTTCTGTGTTTGGCGGCCAATTTCACTTAGTAGAACAATCGTCGGGCAAAATTTTATTTTAATATTGTAGTATACTACAAAAGCTTTAAAGTTATATAAGTTAGAAGTAGTCAGGTCTTCGGGAATATTTTCAAAAATCGAGTCAAAAAAATAATTGACAGCGCGATTTGTCTCTTTCAAACTCTTCCTGCACTGTTTATAGATTTTTCAAAGAAACATACCCAAAGAAAGCTTAATATCTCTAGTATACCCTATTAAAATTTTATTTGGATAAATGTTTTTAAAAATTTTTAAAGTCCAGAAAAAATGTTTTGAAAGTAAAATTTTTATGGTAAGCTAAATTAGTGACATTTTTTTTTTTTATTTCTAAAAATGAAGATTTTTTTCAAATTTTTGGTGCTCATAGGTTCATTTACATAGAAATCTTGCTTATATTAAGTTCTATTACACCTATTTCTAAAACCACTATTTCTACTCTGTGTCAGATTACAAACCTATTTCTATACAGTCTTATATTTCTAAATTTTTTAAAAAGGTTGTCCTTAATGGGATTTTCTCTTCATTAAATCATATTATTATAGAGGAATAATATGGTTTTTGTCCTCAGCGCTCAACTACCACGTGTAACTAGGATTTTGTAATTTTATTTTAAAAACTTTTTAGCAAGATTCCCAAGTTGATGTTCTGTATACAGTGTTTGGTGAACCTCTTTTAGCATGATTTGGCTCTTATCACCACAAAAGATAGCAATGGGTAAGTGTTTAGTACACAATCTAACTTCTTTTTAGTTTCCTCTTATGTACCTGAAGGTGGTCACTTATCTTCAATTTTAATTTTTTTTATTTGTGTTTTGCTGATGATTTGATGCTTATTTATTAGCAAGTTAACTCTGATAAAGACTGTATCAAGCTACAGAATGACTTGGATAAATTTACAGAATAGTGTATAAATATATGGTTAATCCTTAACTTTGAAAAATATCATGTAATGACTTTCATAAAGTCTCTGTCTTGTAATATTTTTCCTTACAATCTTTGGGTGCTATATTTATGCTTGTTATCGATTTTGTATTAGACCTTGGTTTTAAATTTAATAGCTCATTAGACCCTAAATCTCACATGGAAATAGTATCTTGTAAGTGCTTAGCTTTGTAATCAGACTAACTTCCAACATAAAACTAAATTATTCTTTGAAAATGTTATATTCTCAATTGGTCTGGCTAATTTTGTGTATGTTGCTATTGTTTAGAGTCCTCGTTTTTCATCTGATGCCTGTCAAATTGAAAGAATGCAACAGAGATTTTTACGGCATGCTTGATTTATATTGGGTATTTAACATGCACTTCATATTAATACTCCCATTGCAAACAAACTCATTTCGATCGCTGGCGGATCGTATAATTAATGCAGGCCAAAATTTCCAAATGGATTTCTGGATGGTAAAATTAACTCTACTAAAAAAATCTTAAAATTAAAAAACGAATTACGCATTATGTAATTCTATCTACAAAGATATTTAGAAACTAAATAGATCAACTATAGCGCTATCTAGAGTTGAATAATTTAATTTTGTTATAAAGGCGACTTTAAATTTGTTTTAAAAGTATGTAAGTGACACATTTTAATGAATAATATATAGCAGCAATACTCAATATTTATAAAAATACACATGATTAGTTTAAATTGATATAATTAAAATTTGAAAATTTCCGAAAGCAAATATTTATTAAAAAGAGACCATACAAAATAGTTTTTTTTATATAAATATTAAATTGACTATTTTTTGAATGAAGTAATTCTAATTTAAAAAAAATTTTGTATAGGGACCAATCCAGGGAGGTAGTCACTCCTTCAAAAAAAATGTATGCCCTTATCTTGCCTGTCGGAGTATTTTGGCTCTGAGAAAAGGACTGTTGACTGACAACAGCTATACAAATATTTGTATTGATACCACTTGTTAATTACTATAGATATTATAGATAATTATTTATTTTCATATTCGACCGTTTCATTTATAGTAATTAGTTTTACGGTATTACTATAGATTATTTAACACATTTTAAAAATTATTTTATAACATTTTATAGTGTACTATATTTAATTATATATTATATTTTTAATTTTAAAATGTTACTTATAAGTATTTAATTTGTATTTTATAATTAACATTATTTCACTGATAAATTAAATTAAAAACTGATAAATAAGGTAGTGTTCTTGAGCCTATTCTCTATTTAGTTTTTATAGCTGACATACCAACTAGCAATAAAACTACAACAGCTATATTTGCTGATGACACGGCTTTATTATTATGTGACAAAGATCTGTCGATTACTACAAATTATTAAAAAAAAACGTTGATAAATTCTATTTAATACCTAACCCGATAATTCTTGATGATTAAGTAATTCCAGAAGAAAAATTAGCTAAATACTTAGACTCTGAACTAAATTGGAGTAGCAATTTTTTTATTAAAATGAAAAAAAAACAAATTAAAAAAAAGAAAAATAATATGTATTGGTTAATCGATCGTACATTATAATTTATTAATAGAAAACAAAAAGCTACTTTTTGGATTGTCAAAATACAATTAATGCAAAATATAACTTTACATACTATTACCAATGCAAATACACACGAGAGAAATGACAATATTCACAAAGATGTGATAACATCAGCCAAAGAAGAATTTAACGGTACGCTAAGCTACGTGAAAACCGTTTGAAGTTCTACGTTCAAAAATCTTCATTATAACTTCTTAATAATTCTCAAGACGTCAGAAGATTAAAACGATCAAAACCATAAGACTTATTACAAATTTTCTATTAATTTATGTAAATTTTACTAGTATATAAGTTTGGGGACTCTTTATTGGATGTTTCCTACCATCATTGTATATTATATCTTGACTATACACTTATGTAACTTTATATTTATGAACAATTTTAATTAAGACCGCAAAGTCGTCTCCAATAAATACTTTAAAAATAAGTAAATAAACAAAATTAATTATAATAAATACTTTATTATGAATTTATCAAATAAAAAAAATTATAATTGTTTTTAATAGTCAATATACACACATTTTTTAGTTTTTAAAATATGGTTAAGAAATAAGTACAACATCTAATTTTGCGATTGCATTAACTATTTCTTAAACATAAAGTGAGTGCACAAATGAATGCATTCCGTGAAAACTGAACGAAATTCAAGGAATGCATTCATATTAATGCATTCTTTCCAAACACAGTCAAAATTAAGATTTAATATATTAAGTTTAATATTATCATAAAAACACATTTGGACCTCAAATAAAATACATGTCTTAATGTATAATTTGATATTAGTAAATGTAAAAAATATTAATTTTAAAAGATGCTATACACTAGAATTATAATATAATTGTCTAATAAAAACATACTGCATGATTAATTTATCATTGACCACTAGATTTTTCCAAAAAATACCCATTATTTGGACAAAACAAATTTTGCCTTTATTGAATGATATTTATTTCCTTATTTATAAGTGGTTAAGTACTCAATAGGGATGTTCCTTATCCAATATAAGAATGCAAACTTTATTTTTAAATGGTAGTACACATATTTAATCATATTTAAAATGTTAATAACTCAAAATACCGGTTAAAAACACATTTTCTAACGTTTAATTAAATATGTACCTTGCGATTTAAAAACAGTTAATACCTAAGGGATGAAGGCCTAATAAATATTTATCTATATGCCATATGTTATAAATTGTTAAACATTTAATACAATAAATAAATATTACTGAAAAAATTCTCAAAATAATAATTATTTCAGTAGATGTTTAGTGGTTAACGATAAATTAAACACATTGTATTATGTTTTTTATAAGTTATTTTTTTAATTTTATTAAACATTATAAAAAAAATTATAGAGTATAGAAACTTGCCCTAACCTTCTATCCATTGCTATGAAACAATTAAACATTTTAAAATAAATATTTATTCATTTTAAAATAAATGAAATACACTTACAAATATTCAGCTTTTTGAAAAATTAAACCATATTATTAAAAATTGTGAATGTTATAAACATGTGAACGTTTATGTAATATGATTGAATAATATTCATATTATAACTTTATTAAATAACTGAATTATACTTAAATGTTTTTAGTAGTTCATAATATTTTCGCCTATTTAAATCATATTTACTTGTCACTATTTTTTATCTTACTAAACATCATTCTACCCTACCAAAAAGTAATACTTGTGTATTTGCACGAAACAGAAGTGAAATATGTTTACCTGCGGCATTTTAAAAATTACACCATAAAATTAATAATAATAATTAAGTGTTTATTTTATAACTTTAACTTTCTCTTCTAAAGTGTTGATGAAACAGCCAATCGTGTTTAATACTGTTTGAGTTTAACAAATATTTTTATTCTTTTTGCTTAACTTGTGAAAATTTCCGATAATATTTTAATTATTTTTTATTTTCTCATCATATTTTATATATAAAATTCGTTGGAATTTACTTAAAATAGTAGCATAACTAAGGAGATGAGACCATAGCCATGTAAAATTTATGTGATGACCAAAATATATAATATGTTTTTTTACTTATTAAAAATTGTAAGTTGGGTTTAGAGCAAAAACAAATTCATTTAAAAGTAGTCTTTACAATAAAAAAAATTACAGTCCCACATCTCGAAAAAAAATTTTGGCTACGCGATAAAATTTAATAAAAAATTTGTATGGAACCACCTATTACAACTTGGGTACTTAATAATTACTTTTTTTCTTTAAATCTATTATTACTCGCTAAAATAAAATTAGTCACTAATATTTCAATTGTTAAAACACAGCACATAATATCATTATTTATACAGTGAAAAATGCAATGGTAAAATCACAAACGTTGTTACGAATTCTTATTAGAAAATACCGGAATAATAATTAATGACAAATTATTTAAAAAAGTATATATATAAATATATAGATTAAATCAACAATTACATAAATACACGTGTTTGGTATGAATAAAAAATGAATTTAAAAACACGTAAAAAATAAAATTGATCTAATAAGAATAAAATTATCATAAATTTGTTAAATATTAATAAATAAATAAATATTTGTGCTTATAATTAAAAAAAATTCAAGTGATGTTAAAAGGAAGTCTAGTGGTACGGATAAGATGTAAGCACAGAGATGTCGAGTACTTAGTAGGAAACGCTAACAAATTGTACGACAAGGAAAGAAAACTGGCATTCGTTTTCGAGAGGCGGCTTGTAACGGCGAGAAAGGGGAGTCGATCGTGTGGGGGCGTCACATGCACATAGTGGGGGAAGGGGGGGCCAATTCGGGGCGCAGGCTTGCGTGCCCGTCGTTGCGCGTACGCCGACGTTTCCTATCGATCGAGCGCACCAGGCGGCTATCTACTCCGCTGGTCCAGTCTCGCGGTCGCCATATTTCGACGAGCTTTACACGTCGTACACTCTGCTAGGGGCGCGACGCCGCCGTCATGGACCTGGTACAATAAGATACTGGACACGCCGTTGTGTGTGCCGTGGTCTGAACCGAAAAAAGGCTGCTATAGTTTTTTTTATTGTTTAACACGTTTATGGTGTGCAACATTACAGTGATATACGATAACAAAACTCGAGTCGGCCGCGTCAGTCGTGTTACGGTCGTTATCGGTTGCTGTGTCGCAGTCGGTCGGCCGTAGAAGAGGTTTCTAAAGAGACAACGGTGACCGCCCGTGGATCTCTCGCCGGTGTGGACCTTCCACCAGCGTGACGACGACACGCCATCGGGTTAAAGTTCGGTCATATACAACGCGGGTAAGTTGAGTCAGTTTTAATACAAGGGTCTAAAAAATGATCACGTGCCAACATAATATTCATATTTAAATCATTTACTGATGTGCTATTAAGACGGATACGACTCTTCGAGCGTTTGACCCAATTTCCATTTCGGCAACCCAGTGAGCCATACACTTCCACCCTCGCCGTCCATATTTTCACGAAGAACTAACGAGGTTAACTAATATTGATTTTTTACCGAGTAATCTAAGAAAAAACGATCAGTACCCAAGACCATAATTTTTATTAAAACTATTATTTCTTCATTATGGTTACAAATATAATCAGTTGAAACACACTCGTTCGATTGTAGGTCACGCAAGGAACGAACTGGTGGTTGGAAACACAATATTCGTTAGGAATATATCATTAACGGCCTAGAAAAGTCCGGTTAACTTAAAACAGATTTGAATTGATGTAAAAGTGATTAATTCTGATACAGTTATCAACTACTTACTATATACTCTGTGGAAACTCAGTGCATTGCTATTATTATTAAACGTGTTAGCAGTTAGGTCCACTTGATGGTCATTAGAATTTATCGATTAGTGTTGCTTCTGTGACTCTAATGAATCTCATATTTGTAGAAAATCAGATGGTAATTTTACAAACGATCTGATTATCGTCTCTCGATCATACACGTTGTTAATAATTGCAACGTTTGTATTTTTTTTTAAAGCAATGAACGATTTGGAAATACAGTATTTTTATCGCACGAGTCTCAATCAGAAAGGGTCAGGTCAATAGTTAAAAATGTTTTTTTCCGTTTAATTTATTTGTCGGTAGAACGTGTGCAGCATACCAGAAAAATCCCGCAGGCTTACATCAAAGTACTAAAAATCATTACATAAACGAATATGTACCTCGAGCTGTTTATTTCGATGCCTTTCCCTCTGTAGGTTAACTGCATGAGCACATCTTACTTCTACTGCCACCTGAATTAAATCCAAAGAATTTTTTGCACTTCATGTTAGGAACGTTACAAGAGCCCTACATAGACTTGATAAGACGTTATATGATAATTGAACGTTTTTCATAATAATATGACTCCTAAGCAATAAAATCCGTTTAGGTTTTATTTAAGCATAATGATGTCAATCATTAATAAATCAATTTATATTAGCGTAAAAATATTATGCTTTTTTATTTTTGTCATCGTTGCAAATTATTTTTTCCAGGTCATTGACAATATACATTTTTACACATATCATAAATTATAATAATACTTCAATTTTACGATTACCCTAACTAACAAGTGTTTTTTCACATAACCGGGTTGTGTGTTTTATTTTACGATATTAAAAAGGAAGTTTGATCAAACATGAATTTCTATACTTCGAAAGCCTAATTATTTATTTATTAATTTTTTTTTTTTTTTTTTGATAATAAAATATAAATTAATAAATTTAAAGAATAAAATAATAAAAATAATATGCATTATATTAAAACATTTTTCCCCACTTAAAATAATTTACCCATTTACCCATCATATTAATTCAAAAGTATATTTATGTTATTTAAACTTCCATTTCACTTCAATGCACCTAAATTTGAGGATTAGATTTAATCGACTCATAACTGTTATATTCTTAAATTTCGATTTTCGTAATAAGATTGTGTCTCCAGAGTATTAACGGTTCAATGAAGTTACTTCATATAAACGCTTGCTTTTATTTATTTCCTGAGTATTTATTTATACAATCTATTACGAACTTAAATAAACAGTTTTTTTTTTTATTTATTTGTAGGTTTCAAATATAAGTTTTTTAGCTTACTATATACTTGCATTGTGTTTGTTTATTACATGACAAAGGAAAAGTTAGAATATGTGTATTCAAAATTGTATGAGTATGTTTTAACTCAATGACTGAGTCCTGTGATCTTGGGGAAGTTAAAAACTGTTCAATTACATTATATATACATGTATATCACCATTTTTGATATATTACTACTAATTGAAAATATGTTAATGATGATATACGCATAATTTTTTTCTGAGAATATATGTAAGGAAAACTTTTCTCGCCTCCACTAAATTCAACTAATTATTATTGTTCTATACTTGAATAATGTAATTTTTCTAGGTTCCAGAAAGTATTCAGTTTAGTACTCCTCCTATCATTAAATACGCTCTTACAAATATGTTCTGTAGGCATTATTAAAATTCACTTATCAATTGTTCTTAAAAGAAATTAAATTTAAAAGAATTGAACTATTATTATATTTGTTTTGGTAATAAATCATAATCTCCATTTTTGCTAAAATCAGTATAATATTTTAATCAATTTATAAAATGATCAGACAAACAGAAATGAAACTAATAATTTCTTGTATACATCTATAAACAACACAACAGCCGTACTATCTGACTTTGCATAAATAATATTAAATGAAATATGGCAAGCGTGTAACATAACCCTTGAAATATATGATTGTGAATTTAAAATTGCTGCGACTTGTAATTCTTTAGCTTATATTCTTATGTATTGTAAAGTAAGAATAGTAGTTCCTAATTATAATAAATCAAAACACAGAGTACCATAATAACGTTAAAGGATAAATTGTTTTAACAAACACAATGATTTAAAATAGAATTCCTTTAAATATTTAAAAATATAATTAACCTTTCACTTAAATTTTACAAAAACAATACTTGTTTGTTATACAAAAACTTTATTAGATCACTAAAAATCAATATTTTACTATTCATGAAAGTGAAAATGTAACATTATGCATCACAAATATTCATACCTCATTTTTTTAAATTTGAGTTATTATATAATCATAACTTATATTCCATGGATTTAGAAAATACTATTTTCTTAAAAAAAAATTATTTTAAAACACTAAATTGACAAAATAATCAAAATACTTTTAAGTGTAAAGATATAACAGTAATAAGTTTTTTTTAGAACGCTTGAAATATGTTAATAAAAAATATAATTGTAGGTGGTGGAAGACATATTGTACCAACTAAAGACATATGTTGAATCGATATCATTTATAAAAATTGTATATCAAATATATTGAATAAAACATTTAATAATCAACTTCTAGGGGTAAAAAAGCCGAACAGAAGTTTTTGTTTACAATTGAAAACTCATACAACAACGAGAAGATATTATTTAACAATGATTAATTCATCATTACTTATAAATGTTATTAAATTACCTTTCACTAATATAATGTTCATAATACATTACCTTTGATAAACAAATAATGCTTTTCTTTTGTATTTATTTATTGGTTTTCCAAGCCACTGTTTTTTTTTTATTTTTATTCGATTGCTTCATTCAATTAATTTTTTGTTGTTCTTTCATTTTCTCCGCCTTAATCCTAACTACTTGCGATCAGCCAAATTAATTTTTTGTTGTTATCTTTGTTAATTAGTACTATTATTAGAGTGACTTAAAAATTTTAATATATTGTGAAACAACTTACCAATATGAAAAACTTTATAAATACTATTGTTTTGTCTAACAATAGTGCAAACATTATTGTTTACATAAAACAATTCACAATGTCTGTATCTAATTAATTAATGACTTGAGCATAAACCTAGCCAATAATAATTTAACAATAGTAGACGTAACACAATGTATCACTGCAGAATTTATGTATCAATGACACATAAATTTTTCATTTAAATTTATGATTTTTATTTATAACTAAAATTGTACTCATGACGTACTCCACATGAACAAATCAATTATAAATTTATAACTTCGATTTAATAACTGTAGTGTACAATTATAATTAGGGTGATTGTTAGTAAAAATGTCTTAAGGTGAATTCAAGGAAAACAGAAAAGAAAGAACCCGAGACAGAGAGATCGCGAAGTAGTGAAGACATGTATAGATAATATCTAATAGTGATTATCATAAAAAAAACGCTCCAATGCAAATCAGTTAAATTTCATAATTTTTAATTTTTAAATTTCTATGATTTAAAATTTCACTCAAATATTAATACTTATTAAATTATTTGCTTAATTGAAAATAAAGTTTTTTTTTATTTGTATTATAATTTTGGAATATTTTTTTAATTTTTAAAATTTAGGAATTTTCTTCAAACTTTTGTTAATGACAAATTCAACTAGATTGGGTTCTTTTGATGCAATAACCATCATAATCGGTTCAGTGAGAGTTGAGAATTTTCATAGATATACGTAAAAAACATGTCACGGTAAACCAATACCTTTCAACTTCACATCAAACCTAAAATACTTTTTATCTTACTAAATTGCCTTTATTTATTTTTGAACTACTTCAACATAAAATACAATTTCACAATATTTCAAGTTATTATAGATTGGCAAGGTAGGACTGGTAAGCCAACGACCTAAGGTGCACAATAATTGTAACGGCCCAGTCGCATCAAAAAATAATTATTTAAAATATTAGGCAATATGGTAATTCATTAACTACTGCAAACAATATATTGTTTATTGTTCATATCTCTTAAAGAGTTTATTAAGTTTAATTGAAAACGTCTTAAAAAAAAAATTCAGTAGACTTAATTTTTAACACGAACCCATTAAAAAAATGTTCAAGGCAAAAATGAACTTAGACAAATGTGCGTTGAGTTGTTTAAATGTACTTTTAATACTAAAATACAAGAAAAGTTTGTTAAGGCATAATGAGACATAAAGAAACCTCTACTTTGAAAATAAATCATTATTTGACATTATTATTTTTACCTACTAAAACTGTAATTCATTACAAAACAAACAATTTATTACCTCTCATAGTTTAGTTACCATTATGATCACAATACCCGTAAACAACTGAGACATTGCAAAGAATTATTAGCATTGGCATAACGAATGGTTAAGACACAAGTTGACCATTTGTTTGTTTTGGGCGTGTTTGGCGCATGATGACGTCAAGGGATACGATTGAAGTTTTTATCAATGGAAAAGCGTTTGTAACAGAAGAAAATAGGCCGTTGCCACAGACGCGTTCGGTCTCCTTAGAAACGTGCACTGTAATAGAGAGACGATGCTAACGGGCTGTTATGGTACCAATACAACTACTCTTGTCTGCCCACACTACTGTACTGGTGCCTTCACATGTACAAGTATATATGTGAGTATGATTCGGGTGCGACCAGACTTAACGGCAAAGCTCTTCTTGGGCGTCAATACAGAAAATGGCATAACAAGACCATGCGCTTGTGCAAAAAATTCCTAGTCCTTTGCACTCTGTCGAATAAACCAAGGTCGATCCGCGTAAACATAACCTCGCCGCTTAATTACCAAGTACATTTATGTAAACTCTCCTATTATTGTTTATTTACACGTGTAAATTCAATTTAACTAACGAGAAAATTACTGAAAATGGATTTATAACTTGAAAAGTATAACAAAAATATATCGAAACAAAGTATACACTGACACCATAATGTTGATTACTTTAATATATTTTAAAAACATTAATTACATATATTAACAAACATAATATTGCAATTGATACCATGTACAATGTACATTGGCTCGATTACAAATATTAATTACTCAATATAATTCATTAAAATAAAATAATGATATTCATTTAGAATAACATTATTTTATTAGACATTTTCTCTAAATTAAAAATAATAAACACCAAGTGAAGAGTCATAAAGGGTGTCACATACAAGCGTAGGCACTAGAAAAGCTTCTCTGTCATCCCAATAAATTCATAAAAAAGCTTAATAATGCTACAGATGTGGTACAGATTTTATCGCTCGAGAAAAGAACAGAATGATAATTCAGAATTAACAACCCTTCAAAAATTACATATATGTTAAAAAATGGGGTTACTCTGTATATTTTGATCGACTATTCACTTCTACATTTATTTGGATTACCTTGAAATTTTTAACTTTAAAGACTAATAATTATACATTGTTATAAATTTTAATATAATTTAGTATTATAAATTATAATACTAAATTCATATATAAATTTTGAATTTAGATATGTAGTCCAGAGTCAGGATTCGCTGATATCAGTCTATCCAGTCCTCTTTGACTATGTTTCTGCCAACTCTGTAACATAACGGCATTTTTTAGTTAAAAAATATGTCATCCCAAAAAATTTAGCAAGTTGAAATAAGTATTCGGTATTTATAGTTGGAACTGTTAATTTTATAATTTATTAATTAACTTCAATAATGAAAAACAAAACAAGTTTATTTAATAGAAATAAAAACAAAGTTTTATGTCCAAACTGTATTTCATTTTGTCTTATAGTAATTGAGTTTCACGTATTTTCCCAATGAGCCGAAATAGCTCAGTTGGGAGAGCGTTAGACTGAAGATCTAAAGGTCCCTGGTTCGATCCCGGGTTTCGGCAAAACTTTTTTATTTTTTTATTCAAAAAATATTGAAAGTCAAAAAATTCCAATTTTATAAAAAAATTATTTATTTAACTGTTAAATAAATAAGAATTATTGACAGGTTAAAAAATAAGAATGTATATTTATTATTGACCATAATTTGTATTAATATACTTGGTTAAAAAGTTCTACTCAATCAAATCATTAAAATTTATCAATATTATTGTTATGCTTGATAATTAAATGAATATTTTTAAAATACAGATTGTACAACTGGTATTGACTTTTTGTGATGTATTCAACCAAGAGTTCTATAAACCTTATTCCCAATCAAATAATATTTGATATAAAATGCAATATATTCTTATCATGGACATTTGTGTATTTCAGGAAAAAAGAAGATGGCACCCGTTGACCGACCTGAAGAAGCCGAATCTAACGGACCAGCCGAAAAGCCAACAGAGAAAACTCCAAAAAAACCAAAATATCCAAAATCCTCTAAGTCAGATAACTCAGATGTTGACGAATTAACAGATGAAAAAGTTGCAGATGCTGTCAACTCAACAAGAAAAGGACCGGTTATCGAAAAACCAGCTTCAGGCAAATCTGATTCGATAGATGAGGAGATTTCAGATAAAAATAGTAAAGATGAATTAAGTGAGTAGAAATTTGGGAGTGAATTTGTTTATATAATGATAACAACGTTATACTTTTTCAATAGAAAATAAATACTTGGATGATGACTTTAGGACGGGAACAGCGACACCATATACAACACCCAATAGTTTAAGTCCGCCAAACAACTCAGAAATGCCTCCATGGGCATCGTGGTCAATAATCATAGGTCAGTAAAAAAAAAAAAATTTTCGATGCATCATAATTTTTAGTGTGATTTTTTTGTAGCGGTCATATTACTCACTGTTGGGTTCGTTGGCTTTTGCATACATAGGTTCTTTAGAAAGCGAAGAACAAAAGATGGCAAAAAAGGAAAAGGAGTGGTGGATCTTAAAGCAGTTCAACTGCTGGGATCAGCTTACAAAGAAAAAGTAAACCTTCAAGAAATATTGTAATAAAAATAATTTAAAGAATAGTTGTGAACTAAATTTTATCTAGTTGGCATTGAAAACTATCGTCATAATAAAAATAAAAGCTTTAAAAGCTCAATTTTAACTAAATTCGAAAGAGATTATAACTGTTTTTCATGTTATAAACAACATCCCTTACATAGATACGTTTCTTAATCCATTATTATCCATAATTATCCAAAACGAAATTTCAAATAAATGTTTAATTTATTTGAACATTTAATTTGCAATTATACGGGGGTGAATGATCTATCGTTGATAGTAGCGCAATGAAAAATTTTGTATGGAGGATCCAGACAGCTTTTTTAAAAGTAGAGTAGTGGACAGATTCGTCACTCCACTACTCCTACTACTATGATTTTTATGACAATGGAGTGTCTAGGCCGGGGCTCGGGGGGGGGCCTTAATTGCGCTACTGATCGCTGACCACAAGATTTCTTTTAAAATAATCATTTTTAATAATTTCTTTTTAAGTTTGTTTAAGCAGTATTTATTTCTTGATTTATAATTGGTTACTGGTTATCCTTTAGGTAAAGGTACAAACATTATTTATTTTTAATTGCTACATACATATTTTTTAGTTTAAGTAATAAAAGATAATTTAACTGAGAAAATGACAGTCGATTAACAACTTATGAACCAGTATTTCGGAAGTTATTAACATTTTTAAATGTAGACTGAAGGTGAGGTGAGGTATAGACATGTTATTTTTATAATTACGCATCACTCTGCAGCATTCCACCTCTCAAAAATGTTATTAACTTTCGAAATACTGGTTCATAAGTTGTTAATCGACTGTCCTTTTTTTAGTTAAGTATTTTCTATTATTTAAACTAGTAACTATGTAATCATGAAAAAAAATAAAAGTCAGTACCCTTATATGAAATAAGGGATGAATCTTAAAAAAAGTTTAACTACTTATGAATCGAGAAGTACTACTTAAATAAACCAAAAAATTAATTACTCAAAATTATTATTATATAAGAAAAAATCTTGTAATTAACGATAAATCAATCACCCAATATTATAGTGAGCAAATATAATTTTATTATAGATTCAGCCGGACATGGAAGAACTGACTGATAATGCAGAAGATATAGCCGAGGAGGGAGATAGCACAAAAGATGACAAGAAATTAGGAAGGTTACAATTTAAGGTACATTGTGTTTAGTAGGTTTTATTGTAAATAATTTTAAAATTTTTCGTTTCTTTTCAGATGGAGTACGATTTTCAAGGCAATACTCTATCTGTAACAGTAATACAAGCAGAAGATTTACCGGCTTTAGATATGGGGGGTACCTCAGACCCGTATGTGAAGGTTTACTTATTACCAGATAAAAAGAAAAAATTCGAAACCAAAGTACACAGGAAAACATTAAATCCTGTATTCAATGAAACATTCCAATTCAAGGTATTTTAAATTGAGATTTTATAATTGGTCTGTGTTATTCTAAATTTGATTTAAATAATATCCATCATTGTTAATTTTTATGCTAACAGGGAATACCATATGCAGACGCAATGAATAAGACTTTGGTATTTGCTATTTTTGATTTCGATAGGTTTTCTAAACACGATCAAATTGGAGAGGTTAAAGTACCATTATGTCAGATAGATTTAGCACAAACGATCGAAGAATGGAGAGAATTACAATCGGTTGAAGGTGAAGGAGGACAGGTCAGTAATCAAAATCTTTTAATTCTCATAAGCACATATTTATTAGGTTTATAGGGCGGGTTCATTTTTCCTATTGTTATTTAATACTCCAATTATTCCTCTACAAAGTAACATTGAGCTACAATGTTCAAAATGTCCTATTAGACTGATAATATCATTTGATTTTTAAAAAATCGCGGAGTAATTCTAATCACCGCCGTTGAAAATAAGATAATGCAATACTTTTCTGTGTTGTGTGATCGATATAAATCTTCCTTAACACAAAAAGAACTTAATATAACATTATTAGCTCATATTATGACAATTTCCAAAAATTAGAAAATTTATTTTTAATTGCAAATGCATTGTAATATCACGAACCTAGGCGTAGGAAATTTTATTGATCACATAAGCATGCTATATTTTCTATTCTCTATTTTGTCAACATACACAAACACATTATAGTATTGTGTGTATGTGTACTTAAATAAAATGTATAACTACTACATGAATCACTAATTTTTCCTTCTTTAAGATTAAATTTTTCTTATATTATAACTTATTATTATCTATTATTATTCGCAAGCATTGTATTTTGTTATTTTTTCTGTTTGTATTGTTTTGGTTTGAATACAAAAAAAAATCGACCTGATTTTTTTGGAACACGGTGCACCACGAAAACCAACAATGTAAAATATATAAATTCACGTAAGTATGACGCCTTTTTCGGCCGAAATATAGCCCTGTGTCATACCAAAATGTGTGCTGTGTCTCGTGTTTTTGTGGTGTTCTGCTATATTTATAATATTATATTTATCATTTTATCATTGTTATTATTTTGATAAAATATTATTTGTTTTCGACATTTTAGGAAGTTTTATTATTATTTTCTAGCTATATTCTTGTGTTTGATAATGTTTTCCGCATTAAAACACTGCGGACGTGATAATCTCACGGTTTGCCGTTGACGGCTAGCGTTGACGTTATAATTATAATATAAATTATTAAATTATTGATTTGAAAAAATATCGCAAACACAATTGTGTTGGTATCAACTCGATCTTTGCCATTTTACTGTTTTACAATTAATTAAAAAATTACTTGTCATCAATCTACAATGATTTCATGCATGTCTTACACATAACAATTTATACTTAAAAATTCCAGAAAAAAATATTTTTTAGTACAATAAAAAAAAATTTCATTTACTTTTATTCAATGAAGAACACATGATGTGAATCTATTTAAACGGTTTATTAAAAAATTCATGAATAATTCTAACGCGACTATACAAATTATTTGACTTGCCTGTTTGATATGTTGATACTAACGTTGAGTGTGAGCGTGACAAAGTATTTTAGCATATTTACTCTATACTGTATAGTAGTTCACAAATCACATACCCTTACAATGAAAAACAAAATCATGTAACATTACATCCGTATTACTTTTATAATTTTCAAATTGTCAAAAATAATTAATGTTTTAAAACGTATACCAAAAAAATAATAATATTAATATTTTTTACTTAATAATAGAATAATTATTCAAACAATGAAACATCATTCAAAATAATTATTTTGCGATTGACTTTTCGTTGTCAGTTCAATATAAATTTACATTGATACTTAAATTAAAACTTCACTGATAAACTTAATGTAAAAAATCGTATACGTATAATTTCTAAACTTAGATTTAGGGATAAATCATTATCCTTAAATTTCTGATTAGAAAAACTAAAGCTATGTCACATACTGATAAAATAAAATATTTGTGGATGACGTATATATGTATTATTAAAAATAGTGCATTATTAATGTAGTAGATTTGTACACTATACACAACAGTTTAGAGTTAAATTTAGAAAAATAGTAAATTTTTTGAACAGCAATGAAATAAAAATGATTACTAATAATTTATATAACACATAAATATACATATATAAATATATAGAACTAGTGTAATACTAATTAAGTATATAAATAGACCAGTACGGTGTTAGACCTCATAACTAGTTCGTAGATTTAAAATCTATACCTACACTTAGTTAAGGAATAGTGAGAAATTTAGATTTTGATTATATCCAATGAGTGTTAAAGCCCTGAACAATAATTTTAGATTATTATTAATATAAATGTGTAATTACTTTATAAACTTTAGTGGCACAAGTCATTTTAAAAATGCTCTGTATACCTAGAAAAATTCCTATGTAAAAATGATTACTTTTTTTTAGCAAATAATTATATTGACCTAGTTGAATATTTTTAAATGAATCATTTTACGGTTTTATAGGATAACAAGTTGGGAGATATATGCTTTTCATTACGTTATGTACCCACTGCTGGTAAACTCACTGTGGTTATTTTGGAGGCAAAAAATTTGAAGAAAATGGACGTTGGTGGACTTTCAGGTAAAAATGTTAACATTTTTAAACCACTATTTCATAATTCTTAAAAATCAGAATTGAAAAATCTAATAATTCAAATCAATTATTTAAAAATATGACATAGTGACAAACATTTTTTTTTGTGATTGTTCAATTTTAGATCCATATGTAAAAATAGCTTTGATGCAGAATGGGAAACGGCTTAAGAAAAAGAAAACTAGTATAAAGAAATGCACGCTAAACCCATACTATAATGAATCTTTCACATTTGAAGTACCTTTTGAACAAATTCAAGTTAGTACACATAAAATTTGATAATCAGAGTCGGCGGGTGGGCTAAGTCACCAATGCACGTGCATTAGAAGCGTAGATAAATAGCAAAAGTCTTTTTTACTTAAAAATAAAAAGGATTGCGTAAACTTTGTTTGCATTGACTCCCATCACTAAATGCTGCCACTGTTGAAAATAATATTTGAATAAATTAATATGTACATTAACTTATTTAAATATAATTATCAGAAAGACACAAGATACAAGATTCCAAGATAATTCTTATCATTATTATTATCTTACTTTTCTATTTTTATTTTTTGAAATGTAATATACTACAAACTTATTAACAAGTGGACTGCGCTTAGGATGAAATTGGTATCCTCAACATGAGATTCATTATTATCAAAGAAATATTGTTGAGCTCTCTTCTATTTCAATAAAAAGTTGTACCTAATTTTGATATATATATATTACCTTGAGCTTCAAAAATATTTTATGTGTTATGATTTATTTTTTCCAGAACCACATTGTTTATAATACCTTTTAATCGTTTTACAGAAAGTTAATTTAGTCGTAACAGTTGTCGATTACGATCGTATAGGAACATCAGAACCTATTGGTAAGGTGGTGCTCGGTTATAATGCCACCGGTACAGAACTCAGACATTGGTCGGATATGTTGGCTTCTCCTAGACGTCCAATCGCACAGTGGCATACACTTAAGGACCCAGATGATGACACTAAAAATTAAAATTACCCTAACTAAACAATAACTACTGTCACAATTATTTTACATTTGTCGCCGTACCAAATACTCGAGTACTATCAATAGACTAATAGAGAAATACTAACGTTACATAAATAATCATTTATAAATTTACCTATAATTTAAAACGCATAAATACGTGATAATTTTATCCCATAAAACAAAAAGCGAGTCGTTATCTATTTCTACTTCTTTTTCTTAATAATATTGTTATGCAAATTAATTATTTGTACTGTCATTGGATACATTTCGCGGTGTTCACTTATAAATTACTCACTCGTGATGACAATTCTTTTAGGATAAAACATGTAATTCTAATCGCTAAATGATATTTTACAAAACGATTTTAATGCAATTCATAAACTCTATCTTGTAGTTCAATAACAAAACAAATTGCTTTCAATATAATAATTTATTATAGATACTTTTTTCTAAGTTCACATTGCTAGAATATTATTTTTGTTTTGTGTTAGACATGAGTTGTTCACCAGACAATATTAATTTCCTATCATTTTTAATAAGTTGATGTCATAAATAATTATTAATTATAGCAGCTACACTATAAATAATTGGTATTAAAAAAAAATTTCCATGATATTGGCTAAATTTGCTTTTAGTGTAAAATAAGAATATAAATATAGAACCCAATATTGTTTTTCTTCCAATTTGGAAATGTTTTTAATTCTAATTTAATAGGGAAACTCAGATATAACTACTGATTATTGATGTCATGAAACTTATCGTTATAATAAAACAATTTTTTTTTAATTTTATTATAACATGTAAATACCATTTTACCACCGTCTTATTTATATTAGGTATTATATAACTGTATTGTTTTATTTTTCGTATAGATTTAACACGTTACTCTATAATAGCCTTCGTTATTTAATATTATAATTATAATACAAAAATTATATTGTTATTAATTTATTTAAATCTATTCGATCACAATGCAGTTCGATATACACGAGGAACATTTTATACAACATTATTGTTATTGTAATATTTCAAATTTTGGACGATTTTACCTCGTGTTTATTAATGCATAACTAATTACCTACCACTACTTTCTAGTCTTTTAACAAAAATAAATTGTTTACATTATTTAATCTTACATAAATATTAAAAAAAGAACGTGACATTTTTAAGCATAGCCACGTATGTTTCTTGTTAGGTTATCTTGTTTAACTATTATAATTATTGTCCTCTATTATTATTATAATTAAAATTATAATAACAATATTATTTTGATGAAAAATGATTTTTTTAAAGATATAATATAAATAGGTATTGAGAAAATAGTGAATGTACTTAGTTATGAAAAAAATACCTATGATTATTATATGACCTTTAAGAAAAATGTACTATCTACCTTGTTATTGTTACTTATTTATTGTAAAATATTGTATTATATACGAGAGATATTATATATCTAGATATATAAAATATCAAAATAAAAATATTGTATGTTTAAGTTGATCGATGGAAATTTGTAGAGCCGGAATTTGTTACGATCGTACACAATAAATGGCTGATGAGTTTTGTCTGTTGTATTCTCTGTACTTTTACTGATAGGATATATTTAAATAATAATTTATAGTTGAAATTGGTTAACATAGTTAGAAAGAATATGCAACTTGGACTGCACATGTGTTTAGTAGGCATATTTGTTTTAAACACATTTTTGAAGAATTTATTATTGAATACAATCCCAATAAAATAATTATATTTTCTAGAAAAAAATAACATAGATCACCGAAATACAATAAAATTAAGTATTTTTTCTTCGTGTATTATACTGCAGTTACCTAATTAAATTTGGCTTATTAATTATAAACAATCCATACTCAATATATTTATACAATAATATTACTCAATTTACTTCATTGATGATTAACCATATCTTTAATATTTTAAACATCCATTTTATAAACATTAATTATCGATTTCTAACTTTTATTTCATTATTAATTTAAATGAATAACTTATTTTTTAGTAAATATTATTTTTACGCGTTATGCATATGTTGTGTATGGGACTGGTATATAAAATTAATTTTGTTTCATAAAATTTAAGGATAAATAGAACTAAAAATTTACAATAACTTTTTAAATGATAACTATAAAATAATGAATTTAGCAGTTATTTTGTTTTATGTTCCTGTGATCTAAGGTTTCTATATGAAAATTGCAATACGATCATAATTATATCTATTCATATTTTTGTTTTATTTATGTTGAAAAAATGTAATGTATTTTGTTAATTTTCACAAATATTATCATTATTATTAAAAACGATAATTTTTACATTGTGTCTTCTATATTTATATCCCAGTATTAATTATATTAATGTAATCGATATCATTTCATTCAGATAATACTAGAATGAGGATAATTTTTGACTGACCAATTATTTTAAAAGTTGATTGCTTCGCTTATAATTTATTATTAATATTACTGCTTCATAATAATGAAGACAAGTTCTATTAATATTTTAATAAAAATAAACGGTATTTTATTAAAATTTACGACAGTTTCAAAGATTGGGCTTTATAATAAGAAACAAATTAATTATTCTTTTACTATAACTGAAAAAAATCATCTTAAAAGTTTAAAGCAAATGATAGATGGTAACTTAGAATAGTTATAAATAATTACTAGTAAAATGGTTCCAAAGTTATTATAAACAATTTTTTTCTAACTACATGAAATTTTATTTATATGACTAAAAACTAGATTTTAACTATATTTCATAGATAATTTTAAATAGATTGGGTATGTCTAGACTATCTTCGATTTTTACTGAAAAAATTGATTGGAGCAAATGCCCAAGTTACTCCTTCTAAATAATTTTTAATGTCATACAGACTGTATATAGGACCTTATTAAAAGAGTATCTACATATTCAAAGTAAATCTTTTTCAATGACCAATTATTTGATAGAAAAATAAAAATTTTTTTTATTTTTTATTGGTTTCTTTTAATTACATAATTTTTTTAATTCATCAATCTTGAAGTACTTTTATATTCATCCCATATACATTATAAGGATATCGAATTTAATTTTTTAAGTGTTTATTAACAATTTAACGTAATGACTGGAGTTGAGGAGTTGGTGCTGCTATTTATAACCAATATTTCTCGACTTTACTCCTATTCCCATCTAGACATACAAACATTAATAACTTCTAAAAATTGGTTCAAAAGTTGTTAGTAACAAGTAATTTTCTCAATTAAACCATTATCTAATAAATAAACTAGTTTATAATTTATGTTTCCATTTAAAAATTAAAGTCGACATACTTATAAGGTATAAGAAATGAACATTAAAAATAATTCAAGACTGATGAATTGAGAAAAATATGTAATTAAAAGAAATCAATAAAAAAATTATTCATTTTTTTTTATATTTTGATTAATTAATTGGTCAATGATAAAAGAATCTCCTTGTATATTAAAGAATATTATCAGTAGAAAGATAATTTTATAAGACACTAAGTGTATTGTATTTTATTCTTTTATTTTTTATAGAAAATAACATGGATGTTAATGTTTTAATATAGTTTATTGTACTATATTATAATTTAAATTTAACTCGTACATTGCCAGTAATAGTACCTATTATTACTTAATACTTTTAAAGTACAACTACAATTCATTAAACATAGTGTCTCTAAACAACTAAAAAAATTTATTTTTATTATTTAAGATAGAAATAAATTTTAAAAAATTAATTAATTGAAGAAAAATGATAGGAAAAAAAATAATAGATGTCATTATTATTGTTATACTTTTACTTTTTTTTTTATTACAACAGAATTTAGAAGGAAAACAAATTATTAAAAAAAATTTCAAACTATATATTTACACAAATTTGTATATAGAATACACAATATAAGAATTTCTCAACTACTTTGGAATTAATTTTAATTTCAATTAAATTTTGAAGTCTTATCATCATCACTAGACTCACTATCACTATCACTTTTCAGTTCACGATTTTTCACTACCTAAAAATAAAATTATGAAAAAAATTCATTAATTTTTAGAAATACAGTAGACTTAGGTTAGAGATGTAAAAAAACATTCTTTTTTTTTAAATTTATAAAGAACAAAAACAGTTTTTTATATTTCTAACAGTGAACAAAGCATGGATTAAATTATTTTTAGGATTACAAATTATACAGCTACACTCTCTCATTTACTTACATATAAAGAAATTAATATATATTGAAATAATCCTTCAAATATTTTATTTACCATTTAATTCCTTATTCAGATAATTTTATAAAAAAATAAATGTTAAGCTATTTGAAAAATAAGTTGACATCTTTAAAGACATAAAAAATAATTCATGATATGAAAATAGCTAACAGAATTGTGCTAAAATAATTTTTTATGCAATAAAAAAATAAAAAGGGAGAGGTAAATATTGCTATTAGTATAGATGTTATTTCAACAAAATTTTTGGAAATGCTAATTTTATGTTATTTCTCATTTTTTAAATATAATCATACATGTGACTTTTCAAAGGCTAAGACCCTTTAGCCATTTTTTTAATCACATTAATTTTTTGTTTGTATGTCTTTATTTTTTCATGTTTTAGATAAAATTTTTGCTTAATAAACCTCTAATCAATATTCTATTAAATCTTTTACTTAAAATGTATTAATATAATTAGATTAATCCAAAATCAAATTTCTATTCTCCATAGCGAAGGATTCATCAATATTGAAAATGTTTGGATAGTCATACCAACATTAGTGGCAATGAAAAAGCTATTAATTTAGCAAAAAAAGCCATCAACTATACAAAATCATTTCAATATCAAGTATATACAATGTTATAGATATCGGTATAGATATGATGATCTCGCAGGAAATATGCATTATTATTAGATAAATACATCTATCACAAGTAGTTTTGAAAAAATGTGGAGAAATGGCTTTTTCAAAATGATTGATTCAACTATCACACCACTCACAAAAAATCTCACAAAGGCATTGCAAAAACAATAATATTTTTAAAAGAAATTTGACTGTATAATAAAATATCAATACAAATAGTTTTTTATTGTGTAATCTCTTGCGAAATTTTTTAAAAATAAAATAAAAATTGTGTTTATAATTGTATTAATAAATGCATAAATTAATATAACAAATGCAACTAATGACCAAAGAAGCCATGGTTTTATTTTTCAATAAATAAAAAAAAAACCAAAGTATACACATTTATGTAGCTAAGAATGAAGGTTCAATATGTGAAGCTGTATATCTCCTAAAGTTGTTGGGTTTACTCTGAATGAATATTTAAAAATTTAAAACAAAAATTTACCTTTTTCTTTAATTTACTATTATCATGTTTAAATGTTTGACCCATAGATTCTAATTTTTCTTTTAATCTCAATAAAGCTGATTCATTAATATCCTCAAGTTTTAATTCTTTTAAAGCCATATCCAAAGTATTATTGGCTTCAATGTAATTTTCTTTATTAACTAAATTTAAATCATTATTTAGATTAAACTTTAATAAAAGTTACATTATTATTTCAAAACTTACTATATCCATCAATTAAAGCACTGTATATTAATCCTTTGTTAGAATTTTTATTAGGTAAAGCCTTTAACTTTGGTATCATTTCTAACATTTTAGTTCCCAATTCAACATTATTATTTGATCGAATATCAGCTAATATATGACGGTATTGAATTCGTTCACAATTTTCTAAACTACTAATTAATTTTTCAGCTTTATTATAGGCACCATTTAACATGAAGTATGACCATAAACTGTTGGTAAACACAGTATTACCTTTTGATTTCAATATGGCTTCAATATTTTCAACTATAAATAAACATATTGCAAGAAAAACAATAAAAATTAATTTTTAAACTAAAATATTTTAACATTTTAAACATAATACAAAATTTTTGATATCACTAAATAACCCAACCAATCACTATAGTAAATTTTTTTATATAAGTGTAATGACATGTATAAGTCATTTAATTTTACCAAAAAAATAATGAATAATTATGTTTTCTATTACTTTAAACAAAAATCTGTAATTTGAAACTATTTAAATATAGAGAAAAATAATTGTGATGACTTGAAATTAATTATCACAAACAATTTGTAACAAAGCAAATGAATATATCATTAATAATTTCATTTTTTACTTTAAAATTTTTTTGCAAGCTTAGAAGAACACAAAAAATATGTGTAATTATTGCGTATAATGCACTTCTTCAGGGCTTTTTAAAGAAATAAAAAAGTACTTCCTAAAGCCTCTTGATCATCCTTAAAATCAAATTGTACAAATTGCTTTATTTTGTTCAATTTTATTATATCAATTTAAGTTTGTATAATTCTTCAAGTTTGTAGTCAAGATAGAAATAAAAACAAAATCAAACTTTATGAAATTTGAAGTAAAATGTTTACTTTATTTTTTATGTGAAAATATGAAAATTAAAAATATTCCACAAAGTCTTTAGGGACTAAATTTTCTATAAAACGTACTATTATGATATATAAGTAAACCAAATTTAGTCATTCAAATAACTATTTAAGTTGATTAAAAAAATCCTCTGTAGTTATACTTAAAAAAAAATTGATTATTAGGTGAATTTAATATAATATAATATATGTTTACATTATTTATTTAATCACACAAATTACTTGAGTTTTTCAAATAATATTATTATATTTAAACTATATAAATATTTAATTAATAATATTTGGATTAAAAAAAAAACAGATGTGGGCAAAAAATTTTTTATAGATTGCAATATTATGACGATCCATTACTATAGTAAAAGTAAAGTTATGTAAATCAAGAAAAAATATTTTAATAAAAACATGCCATAAACCATTTTTCCATCTAGATTTTTGGTTTAATTTTTTTGCTTGGTGAGTTTTTAAGACATAAAATGTACACAACAATAATTATTGCTAATGTTAGACTAAGATAACAATAAATTAACTAACTTAGAGATAATGTAGCAGGCTCTTTTTTTAATATGTTAATAATAGTTCCACCGGGCAACGCTCTTGTAAGTTCCATTAATTTTTTTTCGTCATTAATATTTTCATTAATACTTTTATTAATAGAATTTAACATTTCCATTATTTTTCCATTTGTCAAGTGAGCATTGCATATATGTTTATTTAATGTCAACTGATTACATAATGCCTAAACAATGAAACAGCAAATGTATTAAAAAAAACATTTAATTGTTGTTAAAAAAAATCAAACCTTTGATAATTTGTCATTCAAAAATATGAGTGAATCGACTTCCCCAGCCTCCGATAATCTTTTAATGAGGAACCTTAAAACATTTTTTGAAATTGGTTTATTATTTAGTAACATTTCTTTAGTTACTCTCATTGCTTCACTTAGTTTATCTTCTCGAGTTAAAAGCTCAATAAGTATAGATTCTTTACTAGGATGAACTGTATATCCTTTTGAATAGATTTGATTGCGCACTTCAAAAGCTTTAAGAACATTATTATTGTTTAAATTTGTTTCAAATGCAACATTCAAAGATTTATTATTATTGCTAGGTATGTTTGGTGACTCTTCTGTAGGTTTCTCAACTACAAATGGTACTTCACGATTATTTTTCTTTAAAAGTTCACTTAATGACCACATAAAAGTGTTAGAAGGTTGAATATTTTCTTCTTGTATTTGAGTCCAAAGACCTACAGCTTCATCTACTTTATTTTTTTTACCTAAGTTGAGAATATTAAAATTCATAAATTGTTTTATATAAATATATTTAGATTTCACGACTAAAGATATAAATAAAATTACTGAAATGAAAACCTACTATATAGTTCCATAAGTTCATTAAAAATGACCAATCTATCAAATTGGTTAACATCTTTAGTTACTTCGATCAAACGAAGAAGAAACTCCTCAGATCCTGCTGTTCCATATTTAGAACAAGCTAAATTCAAGCGGTCTTGTCTCGCTCTCAATCCTGGAGTCTAAAAATAAATGACATTAAAATATTTAGTATTTAAGTATTTTATATTAATTATAATGTCAAATTTAATTTTTTTTATATAAACCTCCAGTATTTTACGAGCTTGCTTAATACGCCCTGATTCTACAAATGCCAACATTAAATCATAGAGAGAGTTAATTTCACCATGAACAGTTGTACTCAAGTCTGTAAGAATTTGTAAAGAAGTAGCATCTTCTGCTTCAATAAACTTTAGAGCCAATTCATTTTTCCAAGGTGTGCATCTATATGTTTTACAGCACCATTCAAATTTATCAAGAGCACCTTTTATATCATTACTAAAATATATATATTTTTTTTAAATATTTATTTAACTAATCATAAACAAATATATTACTTTATTATATGAACTTTAATTAATGGTCCTAATAATATATTTGACACTGTATTATAATTCTTCAATATTAATAAGTCAAATACTTTTTGAACATCATCTGCTTTTCCTTTGTCAGCTATGTTATTTAATAATTTCCAACAGTTATTTGAATGTTGAAATGAAACAAAAGTATCTTTGTTTTCATCTGACTGTTTGATTGAAGATAAAAATTCGATGGCTTCTAAAAAAAAAATTAAAATCCTTCAGTATTTAATAAGGCAATATAATTTTAAAAATACATGAATGCACATTATACAACACACAATCAGTAGTTGGTTTTATGTATATATTTTAATATTTGAAATATTAAAATATATGTAATATGTAAGAGAAGCATTAATTCAAAATATCTATTTTATATTTTTTAACTTTTCAAAGGAACCAAGAAAAAATATATACAAAACAAATTTAATATAAAAAACAGATTTTCGTAAACAGTAAAACTTTATTAAGACAATTCCACTTAATATGTGAAATAATCATACAGTCCCTTATACTTATATATCTTTTAACATTTAAAACATCACATTTAAAAAGCAACAACTTAATAAATATTCCTGCAAAATTTGCTTTTTTTTTAACTTGTTAAGACATTTACATAAAAAAATTCCCCTTAATATGTTAATATAAATCATAAGAGCAACCATCTTGTCTATTTAATTTATCTAATCATATATCATATGATATAACCTGTGTATCAAGTGATCTTAAAAGCAATAAGAGAATCAGAAGTAGAATAACGCTTATTATGTTATTCTGTATAATAAGAGGTTTAAAGATTTCATTTTCAAAAGTGTTTTATCAAGGTCTTACGATATATTACATGGCACTGTATCATATAATAGTTATGCCATAAGAAATAATAGCTAAATCAATATTTCTCAAATTTGAATAAAATTATTTATATTTAAACTTCTCATAGAAAAAAATGAATTAACTATATAATACTAAAACAATAGTCTTACAAAGAATTCAGCATAGACTTACTTTCAACACTTTCATCTTTAACAATAAGATCTGCCATTTTGACCATCTTATATTTATCCAAAACAAAATTAGGGTCTGCTGATGTAAGTTGTTGATATAAATATTTGGCTTCTTCTAATTTATTATTACTCAAATATAAATCAATTAAAAATACAAGTGATCCTGTTGGTATGTTAAATCCTTCTGCATCCAATTTCTATCATTGATTAAATGAAAAAATTAATTTTAATTAAGACTATAAAAGATATGAGTAAATATTTTTACTATACTTCTTTTAAGGCAATAGCTTTTTCCAAATTTTTATTTTTACAGTACAAATTAAACAACTGTCTTTTAGCACCATTTTTTGTTTCACCACTTGACTCTCCTTTTTTAATAATATTTTCTAATGTTTTTTCATCCTAAAAATTTGAATTTGATTAATTTAAAACAATATTTTTAATTTTTATTAATTAATATATAAAACTTAGTTATACAAATATTATAACTTTACCCATGAAAGTATTTATTTAAAAAATCCTGAGGTCTTGATCAAAATTATTCACAGACATTAACATCTATAAATAATTGAACCAAAATCTTAATTTTTAAATTTAATTCAAAAATTAAATAGAAGGCTAGGTTTGTTGAAGAATTATCATTTATTAAAACAATTATAAATCTCAAGTTTTAAGTTGATTCTTTAATTTTTAAGACAATTATTAGCAATTAAAAATGTATAAGTTCTCTAAATATGTAATAAAATAATTATTTTTAAACTTTAAATAAATTATTTTTGATTAAACGTTTAAATAGTCAAGTTATGGTTTGGTTCAATCTTAAATAAAATGAGTCATTCATAATTTGGAAAAATCCATAAGTTTGAAACTTACATAATGATTAAATAAATTTATAAATATATATAGAAATTCACTACAAGTCAAAAAGTTTTAAGCATTTTAGTCAAGTAAAATTAAATAGTTGAACAGAAATTTAAATTATTTTCATAAGTATTCATACTATTTTACCCTATTATTTATTATTTTTCAAACTGAAACTGGTCTTGATAATTTTTTTTGTTTTAAATAAAATATTATTATAAAAGATGTAAATTCAAAACTATTTTTCTTAAAGTGAAACTAAAACATCTTACTTAATATGGCCTTGACTACTTTTTAATCTTTTTACTAGACTTACCACGTTTGCCAATGTATATCCACCAGGTTTAACATCAAGCTCAACTTTACGAGTTAAAGATGAATCAGTTAAATTTTCCAATAAGTTAGAAATTTCAAACGTGAGCTTGCTTTGTAAATGTTGTTGAATCTGTTCTGCAGAACGAGAACTTAAACCCAAACCTTTTTCATATAATGCCTGCATTTAATTAAACATGATAAAATATTGTCATCATTCTAGTCAAATAGTCACATGAAATATACCTCCAGTAATTCTTGAGTAATTTGTGTAGCCCCTGAGCTTTTCTGTAGTTTATTCACTATATTACTAACTACCTGACCAATAAATTCTTTCATTTCAATTATTTGTTCCTCAGTATCAGAACTTGGAACAAATTTATCATTTGAATATTTTGCTGATTCTGGTGAAGTAACTAATGACAAACGTGAGAAGCCATTACATATTTGTTGAAGTATCACAACTAAGGATTTTATATCATTTCCAGACAAAAATGCATTAACTAATGGCTGACGGATTATATTTGGTAAGTAGAAAGCTCTGTGGGTAGCAGCTAAAATTATACACAAATATATAAATATATTATTTTGCAATACATTAAGAAAAAATTATTACCTATATCAGCTGCTTGGCGAATTTCATTATTTGATAATAAGTATAGAACTAAAGCATGAGTGCTAGTACCCGAAGGAATACCTACTAACTGTAAGTTACTTATGATTTGGACTCCACTTAGATTATTTTTAAATAATAAAGGTAAAACATAGTGCCTAAGGGTATCAATATTTGGAGATAAATTATAAGAATTTATCATTATTGATAACAAATCATTTAACCCTGAAATATAATAATAAATACTGAATACTTTAATTTATACTATGTCAATTATATATATTGATTAAATGTATATTTAATACATTAAAAAATGTAAAGGTTATTTAATAATATATTACCATTCAAATCATTTTGTTTGTTTTTAGATACTAATAAGGGCCAGAAATAATGTTGTCTCAATGATTGCTCTTTTTGCTTCATATATTCAAATAATCCTAACGCTATATTAACAGAACCATTCTTTAATGCCATTTCAGTAGCATACTCAAAAGCTCTTGGATTAGATCCTTCATCCACAAGTTTTTGACAAAAATTAATTATTTTGTTTACGGGCTAAAAATAATATTTAAAATAATTTTTT